CACACACACACACACACACACACACACACACCTCAGAACCCGTCTTTCCCCCATAATGCTCATCTGGCTCTCATCTGAAGCTCTGCAGTCCATCATTATTAGTGCGTCACTAAGTTTAATTAACAGTCAAAGAGTCAACATCTAAATATAACTTGAGCCAACCCGAACACCGTTTTGGAACCTTCCACCCATAAGTCTAAAGGGCGCTCCCAAAGCATATGAATAAATCATGATAGCAGCTCTCTCACTGCTGTGATGCAAAGATATAAATGAAAACAGGTGGTTTCTTAAAACATGTGTGAGGTAAGCTGTGCAAGTTCACACAAAAGAAGAAACCAGGAATTCACTATTTGAACTTGCGAGGACTTGAAGGCAACACTGCAGCATTCAAACCGTTGGCTAGAGGGTTTCTTGTGACAGTAAACAATGGGTGTGTCGAGGATGTCACAGAATTCAAACAACCGTATCTATAGTGGCAGAATAGAAGTTTATATGATCATTTCCACAAACACCATTCAAGAGAATAGCCTACATCCACCATGCTGCTGATGACTTTTCCACAACAAATGAAAACAGTAAGTGGAGAAGAAAGCACTGAGTCTAACAACAACAAAAAATATGATAAAAAGCCAGCTCAGCAGCAGATTGCAGGTCAATCATTAATGAAGCCATGATGAATTCATGCCTCTAGGAAGCTCCATAAATGCCTCATAAACCTTTTGAAAATGGAGGTCTAGAAGTCACAGGCTGACTGAATATGAGCTTCAGCCTCTCATCTCCGCCGTCGAGTCGATCAATCATATACAATGTTGGCTTAACGTCTTCGACCACCTTTTAACGTATTGACACGAAGCTTTAAACCACAGCTCACTTCAACAGGACCCCATTTGGTTTCGCGTTTAATCACAAAAGACAGCCCGCACTCTCATCTCAGGTGTCTGACCCAATTAAACCTGAAAAGTGCCACAATGTTTAGCGCACTCTTTTTATTTTCTCTTCTTTTTAAAGTACAGCCTACAGAAAACAATAAAGTTAGAGGGGGAGGGTTGTCGCGAACAAAGCTCCACCAGACAGTAAATGAGCATTATGCTTCCTGCTAGTAGAGATAATTATCCCACCTGATGAGTCGAAGGCCGTCAAAAACAGGAGTCCTAGGAGCGCGCAGCTCGCACCCAGCTGCATGTTCACTGGAAGAAAATGAGGATTTTCCTAAATAAAAAGCTTCAAAAGCTTTCAAAAAATGTGATTTATAAGGCGCTGTTTCTCTCTCAACTACACAGCTGCATTTTTCATGGCGTTGACAGCCACTTCCTGCTCTGCGTTACTACCTGTGCGCGGCGGCGCGGTGGAGGGCGTGGTCCGAAGGTAGGTCACGGTTACCTGTCCGAACTTGACGGGTGAGGAGGATCGGGGGCCCTGCCGTTGTACCCTTGAGCCGAAACACCGCTGCGTTGATACGCAAAGCATTGATTCCTGATAAGGGCACGAGTCCTTACGTGACTCCACTTCGCCGTGTGGCACAATGGGTGCCCTATTTATACGCAGCCAAACATGCCAAGGATTGTTGGCATCGTGCGGGGTGTCCCCAAAATGAGGCAGAGGAAGGGCTGTGGAGGCGGAGCTCAGAAGTACACAGCATCGATAGTATTATGCACCAACAAACTGATAAAATGCCAAGGGGATGATTTACATTCAGTCCCTATTGGGTCATATTTCTGGTGACAGTTTAAATGAGAAATGTATTTATATTTAAAATCAGGTTGTATCTGGTCAGCTGCATTTTTTTTTCCCACCGTGAAATGATGATGAAAATGTTATTGGCTGATGTCTGATAGTAGATCTATAGTGTGGATAGCACTCCCATGTTGCAGAGGCTCTTCTCCTGCCTCCACATGCCTCGTGACGCAGACATTCCAGCACAGAAACATACCTGAGGGCAGGACGACTCATTTGAGTTACATTTTTGGAATCTTTAGCCGAAATAATTCACCCCAATTTTAATGCAAAATGCCTCATATTAACCCTCTCCCTCAGTTTTAACCCATGTGGCCTAATGCCATCTTTATCATTTTCTCCTTCAAACCCCAAACTTAAATTCCAACACTCAACAATACAGAAGGAGTAAAAATAATTGAGAAAAAGACTTTCTGTCTTTGTGAAGACACTTTGATCCCCTCCTAAAACACACACACACACACACACACGCATACATACACACACCTTTACAATCAAACACAAGTGATCTCACTGAGTTTTTTTTTGCGTTGAACCAGTCTGACAGCACCAGAGTGGGCGTTGTGGTGAATTCAAACAGCTTCAGTGTGTCTCAACAAGAGAGCTCAGTGAAGAAGCAGCAGCTGTCACACACTTCCCCTCCCATGTTACTGTAGATCCACAGCCAAACATGTGCTGCCGAGAGTTTCCCGACTAAAGTTTCCGAAGGGGAGTTTGACGGATAAGCGCCACGATGCATGCAAATGTGGAGACATTATGTAAAGTGTCAAACTGTGTTACTTGTTTATTGTTTAGACGGATAAGTTACATGATTGTGAAATGCTTGTTGAGCCGTCGAAAGTCAATTATTTTTATTTTAAACATGTTTGCTGTCTTCTTTTTGGTCTCTTCCTCTCTTTCCTCTCATTTATTTATAGAACAGATATGGTCAATATTAAATACAATGATGAGACATGAATGAGAGGAGGAACCATGGGAAACCATTGTGTACATGTAAAGAGTGATTAAAACAAGGATAGAAACTAAATACAGACGACCACATTGTTCAGTTACAATCCGTTCTGCTCACTTGGCATAAATAACAGCATTTGTTTTCAACTTTCCGGGTCAACGGTTATAACACGAAGGTGCCTGAAGAGTCCACATGAGGGCAGTAGGATATATGGGCAGCATCAAGCCCTCATCTATGTGAGGTTTTATGATTAAAGGTTGACGAGCTTTCAGGGCTCCTGTTCAATATTTTGTTCGTGCACGGACAGATTGTTGATTGCAGTAAAGCAAACAGTAGTGATCTTCTTTTTTTGTTTAAGGAAAACCTCAGTGGATTTTGGACACTTTTGGTTGAAAAGCAGGCATGTTTGTTTTTAATGTTTCATATGTTCATGTCTCTTAGTCCATTTAAGAAGATACATGTACGAATTTTAAAGATAGTTTCAGAAGACAGATGTCTAATAATCATCTCACGACCGTGTGACCCTTTGGACCAACCCCAACCACTGCAGGTTACTTAACTAAACGACCTGGATGAAGTAGTTCACATGAGCTCCACCTCGACCAGCTACAACAGGTACAAAGCTGCTTTTATTTTAATGCATCAATGATAATAATGAAATAATTGTAATATAAGATAATATTGAACCCACATGAATAATTGTTTGACTTTGACTTTTGATACATTTTTCTGAAAAACTTCTGTACTATTACTTAAGTACGCAATATTTTGAATGTAGTACTTTCACAGTTTTGTTTTGGTCATTTAACTGCTCTGAATGCTTCTTCTCATTGGTGGAAAGTAAGTAAGTACATTTACCCAAGTGTTGCCTGAATATGATACATTACTTTACAATTCTTTGTACTTCAGCTCAGAGAGAGAAATACTGTACTTCTTTACTCCACTACATTTATTTGATTATTATTATTGTGAGGCCACAATAATTATTATTATTGTGAGGCCACTACATTTATATGATTACTTAAGCTACAGGTTACTTTGCAGATTCAGATGAATAAATCAAATATATGATCAATGAATAGATTATGATGCAATATTATATATTCATATGGGAGGCAAAACTACTCCGCATTTTTTTAAAGTAATTAAAATCAGCCCCAGATTTACCAGCAATGTATGCACATGTTGATGCATTAATTAGTATAATCCAACGATATAGTATTCATTGCTCTGAAACGGTCCATTCTGCATGAGGAGTATTGATCCCTTGCGGTGTTTCTAAATTGTGCTAAAAGACACCAGTTGGCCTCGTCTGTTGCCACCCACTCAGACAGCAGCCTTGGAGGAGTCCGGGGGTCTGAGGAGAAGCACCAATGCAACACCCATGAACCCAGAAAGCAGCTCCCCTTACAGCTGTCTGCACCGCACATAAAATTAGACCCCTCCGTCAGTCGTGCTGTTGGCTCCAGCGGGCAGAGACAACTGCAGCGAATCCAGTAGGAGATGGACCCAAGATATAGCTCCAGTCTTTACTTTGGTAAGGAGAGAATACACTGAATATGTTCCTCTCTAACATAGTTTTTGTCTGTGGGTTAAGACCATAATTATTATTGATTGTGTGTGTGTGTGTGTGTGTGTGTGTGTAGTCAGTCTGCACAGTTTGTTTTCAGTCAATGAAGAACGGATCAGGGTTCACAGTAACCAGTTGTCTATTATTTGTCCTTGTTGGGTATTCAGGAAGCTGCACGAGCTGCAGTAAAGCGGTGTACGGTGAAGGGAGAGCCTGCCGGGCGATGGGATGTTTATTCCACAACACTTGTTTCACCTGCAGCGTTTGCAGTGAGTCCTCCTGATGTGAGGCCGGATGTTCTGAGTCCAAATCTCCTTCTGAGACTGTATTTCTTTATAATAATAAATATTCACGCCTCATTAAGCAGATATAGAAATGAATGCATTGCTGTGTGTGGTTTGTTATTAAAACTATATTTAAAGGCCAAAAGAAACATTTTAAGTTGAATTTCCGTCTTTATGTAAACAAAATAAAACACCAGTGTGGTATCAAATGTCACGTCAAGGATTTATGTTTACCGCGCTTCTTGTCTTTTATCTTCATGTTTAGGTGAAAAGCTCAGTGGGAAGCCATTTTATACAATGTCAGGAAGAATCTACTGCGAGGATGATTTCTTGGTGAGAATATAGTGCTTCAGCATGGCTGCATACGGAGTTAAATATCACATAAACATGTGGGAGAAACGTTTTTTCAACTCCTCGGTATGTTCGGTACATACTGTGGAACTGACAATAAAGCTAACTTTGAACTTTGAACTTTGATTTCTATCCAGTTTGAAGATCTACAGCAATCGTCCAGACATTTAATGAGTCGATTTGTTTTGTTATTTACTGCAGTACTCAGGAGCTCATCCATCCCAAGAAGTGTGTAACAGCTGTGGGTGTTTAATCATGGACATGGTGAGTATGTATTAGTTTACTGTGTATGTATTATGTGATACATGCTCTCTCCAGTGGTGGAAGTATTATTCAATCTTTTACTTTAGTAAAAGTAGAAATACCACAGTTTAGAAAATACTCCCAAAAGTCCTGCATTTAAAATGCTGCTTAAGTAAAAGTACGAAAGTATTGGGATCAAAATATACTTTAGTACCATAAGTAAAAGTAGTGTGCAGAATGGCACATTTTAAAATAATGTATTACAAGAAGCGATGCCTTAATATGTATATTACTTCAATGTTGCACCTGGTAAAGGTAGTGCTTTTTTTACACTGCCAGATTGTGAATTTTCAATAAAATATTCTAGTCATCCGAATACATCTGAATACATCATAAATTATTTGTTCATTTATATTTTGTTTTCATAATCTAAATCTGCAGCGTAACTATAGGCATAAACTAAACGTAGTAGAGTATTGTTCCCTCTGAGGTGTAGTGGATTTAAAGCTTGAAGTAGCAAAAAATGGAAATACAACAATAAAGCACATGGTACCTCAAGATAGCATTCAAGTGCTGGAGTAAATGTACTTAGTTACTTTGCACCGCTGGCTCTCACATTGTGTAAAGAAGAGCTGGTTTTGCATCGTCAGGTTTTGCAGGCTCGTGGGAAGTCCTACCACCCATCCTGCTTCCGCTGTGTGGTCTGCAGACGGAGGCTGGAGGGTCAGCCCTTCACTGTAGACGCAGACAGCAGGGTCTACTGTGTCAGCGACTACCACAGGTGAGTTTCTGATACAGGCCCTGAGCAAGTACAACAACAGTGGGCCAGGTCTTTTGAATTCACACTCCAGACAAAAGAAGAAACCAAACCCTGCCCGACAGGCCACACATGAGACGGGTCACACCCACAGTGACTTCACATCTGAGTTTCTGTGACCTTTTGCTGGTTTCAGGGTCCGAGCCCCTCTGTGTGCTGCGTGCAGAGGGCCGATACTGCCAACTGAGGTTAGCTGAATAGTTTGTTTAATTAATGGCAAATAGCACGAATTTTTACTTTAGTTTCTGAGGAATGATCGTAAAAATGTCCCTTCATTTGTTGATTTTTTTTCCAGGGGTCTACAGAGTCTATTCGTGTGGTATCATTTGACAGAAACTACCATGTAGAGTGCTACAGTGGTGAGGTTGACCTCATTTGAAGACAGAAGCATTTTGATATGTGTGTTTATTTCCCCCCCGCTGGTTATTTTTTGGTAAATGTAAAACATTAAAAAGATGTTTTATTCTTTAGCATTTTGTTTGTATTTCTACAATGCTTTGTTTTATACCCCACTTTGACAACAAATTACTGTATGCACTTTTCCCTTCTGGTTCAGAGGCGACACCGTGTGTCAATATTCGGTATTACCACAAACTCCCGGAAGAATCTTCTGTTGGTAAATGAAGATCAACGCTGATTGAAATGGCGTCAGTCGGGCTACGTGGTTGGGCTCTCTGCACCGTGTCTCTCCTAAACTCTGCGTTTGTTTTCATATCCGGTGCGGACTTTGTTCGGTTTATATCATTTCGAGCCATTTACCACAACATCACCGGGGACACGAAGCTCTGTCAAGGTAAGCTCCCGTACTTTAAACTGCTGCTGCTGCAGCCGACCATGCGAAGTTAACGCGAGCTAACTTTAGTGGAGGAGTTATTTTTGAAACCTGCTAACATGAGAAGGCTTTTAGTGTCGGGGCTTAAGACTTTGGTATTTTAACGTTACTTAACGGTAATTACGGTGTAACAATAGCAACAGCATAGCCGTGCTTCATATATAATATGAATGAAATTAAATCATAATTCATATGAGTTCGTTGAAAGATTACCTTTTGACCATAAGGTATCAGTGCCCGGCTAGCTCAGTCGGTAGAGCATGAGACTCTTAATCTCAGGGTCGTGGGTTCGAGCCCCACGTTGGGCTACATATTTTCTTCTGAAGGGATTTGTTTTTTTCAAGCCCGTCAACTCAGCTGTTGTTTTTAATGGTGGATATCGTATCAGACATGTTTTACGTCAATGTGTATATTCTCAAAATAATATAAGTCTGTTGTAACTGTTTTAAAAATGGTGAATACTTAAGTATAGTTTTCGAAAACTAAGTTGGTCGAAATCGAGTTCAGAAGCCGTTATCACTGCATTTGGCACTGCAGTGTGCCAAATTCTGCATGCAGTGTGCCAAATTCTGCATGCTTCACAGAATGAGTTACACTACTTTTAATCTTATTTATAGGGTTTGTATTTCTGCTTCTCACTCATATCTGACCTGAGAAGCTACTAAATCATGCTTTTGCAAGGTTGATGTTCGGTCATTACGAGTAATAATTAATTGAATGTAACACAAACAGAATGATAAGGAGGACTACACCGTGCTTGTATTACAGTAAATGTGGAGCAATGAAACTGTGGGTTATGTATAAATTGCTGTGACATGTTTAGTGCTTGAGTGCTCGCAAACGGGGGGTGTGTTCTCAATGCGATGCCTCGGTAGTTACAGTGTGCAAAAGACTGAACATTGTAATAAACTTCGGTCAATAAACCATAGTGCCTGCCCAAATCACACTGAATGTGTCGTTTTTAATGAATTGCAGAATAAAATCAAAACAAACCAGGGGTATTAGTTAGTGTGAATGTGCTCTATTTATGTATATATAGGTTTATATACACAAAAAAACTTTAATTATTGTCTGGACTGTACAGCTTGTTCAATCTAATTGTTGGTAGTCTGAATAAGCTACAGTTTACAGCTTAAAATGTATTTTGTGAGGTTGTACACATAATGACAAATTATTTTATAATGACTATATTGTGATGCTCAACATAAACATAATTAATGACAATATTCCAGTTGATCAGAATTTGAAGTGACCTTTCTCTTCACACCATTTGCCCACACCTAGACTCTATACCGTGGTCGGTGGCCCTGCAGGACAGCTCTGTCCTCGGGTCTCTTTTTGTGGATCTGGGGCTGCTGGCTCTCTTCATCGTGCAGCACAGTCTGCTCGCCTGGTCACCCGTCAAACACGCCCTCCAATCAGTGCTGGGGACCCTGAACAGGACGGCTTACTGCTTCACCACAGCACTGGCACTTCAGGTACTGCAACACAGACAGAGTTAAAGTTGAACGTGTTTTACATGTCGCTTTTCTTCCCCACTCTGCATCATCATTCTCTTTCCTCCTGCGATAGATCATCATGCGTTACTGGCAGCCCGTGACTGGCGCCCCCTGCCTGTGGTCGGTGCGTCATGCACCCTGGAGTATCTGGTTCCCTCTGCTCTGCTTCAGTCTGCACTTCCTCTGCTGGGCAATCATCTGCAGCATCCTCATGATCTTTGATTACCCTGAACTGTTGGGCATCAAGCAGGTAGCTTATCAGTGTTACATTTTCATAAATATTTGGGGGTATTTCTGCCTTCATATGACAGAAAACAGTTGAAAGGAAACAAAGAGAGAAGGGGAATGACATACAATAAAGGTGATGGGTTCAACACTGGTTAATCTCGAGGCCACCAGGTGCCCCAATTCATCATCATAGCTGTATTAAGTATCATAGTACATCTTGTTACCTAAACTGTTACATGATTAAGTTTCCTACAGATTGATTTGCCATAACTGAGGTGCATACAGTATGTATCAGAAAAGTTGACGTTACATGTAATTCTTCAATTTACACAAGGAAATGTGCAATGTGAAACGTATCAAAATACATTTTCTTGAATTGTGATTAGACTTTCAGCAGCAGGGAGTGTGTTATCTGTGACAGTGGTTATGAAAAACTCAAAAATGTTCCATAAATAGTTTGACTTGTTATTGGTACTGCCTGCTGAATCTAATTTGTCTCTCTCATCCTCACCCTGCCCTCCTCTCTCTCAGGTGTACTACGATTGTCTCGGTTTAGGGGACCCTCTGTCTCACAAGTCACCTCGTGCCCAGCACCTCCTGTCTCACTTCCGCCACCCGGTGTGCCTTGAGCTTGGCGTCGTGCTGTGGCTCCTGCCGGCCTTGTCCCTGGACAGGCTCCTGCTGGCGGGGACTCTGTCGACCTACCTGGCCCTGGCACACTCTCTGGACAAACAGGATTTAGCCTACCTCTGCGTCCAGCTTAACCACAAGCTGCAGCTCTTTGCCGAGCCGCACCGGGGCAGCGGCGACGCCAGCGACCACAAGGAGGAGTGAAGTGGAGGTCTTCTTACTGCTTCGATGTGAAGCTTCAAGCTAACTGCGGTCTTAATATTCAACAGAAATGTTACAAAACTCACTTCTCAATCAACCTGGTCGTCTGCTCTGGCCATTTCTGCTAAAGCCAAATGTCCTAACTCAACTTGACACTGGGTTTTTTAAAGTTTTCTTTTCACTGATTACATTTAGGAACAACGATTCTCAAATGTAATCAGAATATATAACGTTTTATTGTAAAGTTTTATTTTGTGTCCGAAATTGATTGATAATACATGTAACATTTTGCTATAAAACCTGTCAAATATTCTTTATTGAGTTCATCATACAGTACATTTTTACCATTTACCAAATTCAGGTATACGCTGTATTTCTATGCACACTCATTTTTAGTTAAATTGTCATTGAGTAAGAATGTCACACTGATATTTCACACTGTCAAAAAGCACAAAAATGCAGCTTTGTTTTTCACACTTTTCAGCTATCATGAAGAACAATGGTATTTCTTAGATCATGAATTGTGTATTTCCTCAGTTGCTCTATTTTGTGTTGGGGACAGTAATGTCATGAACAAAGTGAATAAAGTTGCCTTTTCTTAATATGTCATTAATTCTCGAACTTCAAAAGTACTGTAATCTTTGATTTAACATGTATTTTATGCTGGTATTAGTTGTTGTATTATGGCTTCACTGTAATGACAATTATAACTTTAGGTATTTTCATGTTGAATGAATACATGTAATAAGCTGCATGCAGTAGGTATGTAAGATGTGTATTTGTTATCTCTATTCATGTCTTATTATTATGAATATTAAAGTAGTTAGAAAAAGAAAAACATGCCATGATGAAATGAGGTTGATCACACCGGAGGTATACTCCTGCAGCTATGAGCTCTGCCCTGCCGACACCACAGCCCGTTACACAAACCCCTCCACCTCCATCTTTTTTCCAATTAGTCCTGTGGAAGGAGGGATGAGATGAGGGTGGGGGGGGGGGGTTGTTGCCTGGACAGACGGCTGTGTTCTTGAAACGCCTCTTCTTAGGTCCGACAATATGGTGTGTGCCACTAAACTCTCCTGACGGAATTTAATGTAATTATCGGATTACAGTGCAGCCGCTCCAAGCCCGTTTACTACTATAACGACGACGGAGGTATGTTCGTGCTCTGGTGTACAGTCAAGTTGTTGGGTGATTTGACGTCTTTTTAAAAACAGCCGTTGTGACAGCACAGATTAATCTGTTAGTTATTGGCGAAGGAGATTTTCCGTCGAGGAGTGGAGCGCATTACGCACAGCCAAGTGGAGATGACAACTTTAAAGTCTCAGCGGATATAGGCCTACTAATATCTTTGGGTCGTTTTTGGTGAGTTTGGTTGAACACTTTCATCATAAATATTAGACTGAAGCAGGGAGTGATTTTCTGTTACATGTGCATTATGCGCTGCAAGTGTGATAAAGTTTATGATACTATTTTGAGAAAAAGATGAACAGGTAAGGCTGGAAATGTTGTTCCACCGTGTAATTCTGCATTCATTTGCATCTTTCTATGTGCTATTAAACATTGGAAACACATGTCAATTGATAATTAAATTGTGTAATTTGGAGTTTTATAGTTTATACTGTCCTAAAAGTTAAATATCTCGATGATGTTCACAGCTATTTATGGTTGTGGAGAAAATTGATTTTAATGAATTGTTTCCTTATTTGCAGACAATTCACAGAGGCTCTAAAGAAGAACAGCAACCATCTTGTTCGAAACCTTTTCTGTTATGTCTGTCTCCTCTCTGCCGGAATGGAAGCAACTCCTGCTGGAGAGAAAGAGGAGAGAGGAGGAGGAGAGAGAGAGGAGAGAGAAAGAGGAAGAGAAGAAATTTGCCAGCATGCCCGCCTGGAAGCGAGGGATCATCCAGCGGAGAAAGGCGAAGCAGGACAGTATAGGTGACAGGGAAAAGGAGAGAGACGTCTGTCTGCTGCAGGTGGATGTCAGATCTGCTTCTGATGGTCTGAGTGACACGGATAGCATTGTAACAGTCAATTTGGAAAGCGAATGGTCACTTAGTCCAGATCCGGGGCTATGGCTGGATGGAGAAGTCAAACCAGCGAGTCAGGTGTCTGTAGAAACTATAGTTCCATTCCATGAAAACCCATTTATTCGAACGCAGAGTGCATGGAGGAAGGGCAGGGATGCAGAAGGCGGGAACGAGCCAGAAGTTAAGGAGAGGGAGAAAGACAAATTGATCCCCAAGAGTCAAGATGGGGAGTTGGGAAAAGGAAGAGAAATCGAGCTGAAAATAGAGAGATTCAGAGATGTGAGTGAGGGAAGGGAAAAAGAGATGAGCAGGGACAGGAGTCAAGGAAGAGAAAGAGAGAATAACAACCAATGGAAAGAGTCAGTTAAAGATGCATCCAGGGAGCGGGAATTACTCAAAGTAAGAAAAGACGAGGAGGAAAAGGAAACAGACCCGTCATCTAGTTCTTTTTCTCCCCTCGTCCCTTGTCTTCGGACCATCCGAGCCAACAACATCATCATCATTGAGCAGGATAGGAAATCCAGCGATGAGAGAAAGGCTAGATGGAGGGACGCAGAGACGGAGTGGCCTGAGGAGGACCAGCAGCTGAAAAGAGGGATGAAGATGGACCTGAGGGAGATCCTTGCAGGAGGAGGGAGCATCACCGAGATCCGAGCCTCTGAAGTTCTGATCATAAAGCCGTCGGCAAGCCCTGAAGAGATGAGTCCAGAAGAAGGAAGAGGAGGGAGAGTTTCGGGTAGAGAGGATGTAGAGATAAAGTGCAGCATGGATGGAAGGAGGGAGAGTTTGGGCAGAGAGCTCAGAACAGACAAGTCCTGGCTGAGAGAAAAAGAGAAAGAGAGACCATGGGGCCAGGTAACGGTTATTAAAGACAACAGGAAGGACAGCTTGGATGATAACGTGTTTGTTGAAAGGGGAGGTAGGGTCAGCCAGCTGCTGAGTAAATTCGGACAGCACCCCAAGCCTCCATCTCGATCCAAAAGCTCTGATAATTTCCTCCGGCCTGGGAGGAGAAAACTCTTAGGAGATGAAGATGACGAACAATCTGAGGCAGATGGGAGGAATATGGTACTGAAAGGTGTGCCAAAACGCTCATTTAGCTTCTCTGATCGTGTCCTCTGTGCTAAGGAGAATGGTTTAGATGATGAGGGTTATCATGCAAGGAAAACCCGTGGGAGGATACATTCAGACAAGTGCGTAGCGCCGTGGGTCGACGACGCAGGCTTAGGGAAGGAAACCACAGCAAAGGTCAAACTGGGGTGCACATGGCTTTTAGATAAAGACCGGTTTGGAATGCAAAAAGATGGACATTCAAAAAATGAGGATGAAAAGGAGGGGAATAGGAGAAATGAAGCAGAAATGTGTCCCTCCATCCAGCACAGGAGCGAAGTTAAGAAAGTGGAGCCTGTTGATACGAGGGCTTTGGAAAGGGCAAGCGACGCAGACGGAGATGAGGGGTTCACAGTGGCATCGGTCAAAAACACGGAAGGAATCTCGTTTGCTAGAAGACTTACAATCAGGCAGGAGGGGAAAGCAAGAGCTGAAAGAGAGGTGAAGCGCCAAGCAGGTGAAAAAAGTCTAGAAAAGCAGATGAGTGTAGAAAAACAATCAGAGATGGGGGGACAGATTGAGGAGCAAGTTCGGGATAAAAATGTGTCTGATTGTCGGAGGGAGGAGGGATTCGAAAGCACAATCCTACCTGAAACTTTGCAGAAGAGTCACGTCAAATCAGCTTTCACAGAGTGCTCCAGTCTGCTCTGTGCTGTCACAGATAGGGCTAGAGACCTCCACAGAGGGCCAGAGTGGAGTGGTACAGGGCCACAAGGACCTTACCTACCACACTCTGTTTTATCCCAACACACAGAGGAGCTTATAAGTAAAATAGAGAAAATAGGAGAAACAACTATTCATGGCAGTGAGAAAGGAGAAAGGGCTCACAAGGCTGCATATGAAATGACCAAAGGATCAGATCAAGAAATTGGATCAGAGACACTCCTTACTGATGCAACCCCCAGATCTCCAAAAAGAATTGCACCCATAGGGATCCCTCCAGTTCCTCTGGAGATTCAAATCCCCAGAAGTGTGTTTTACGTTGCCGAAGAAATGGTAGAGAGAAAAAAGGCCGTGGGTCAAAGTGGTGACGAGAAAGACTGGGAAGGAGATAAAGGGGTTGAGAGGAGGGATAGCTGGAGAATCGGAAAACCCCTGAGCCGCATCGAGTCCCTGCGAGAGAAAATAAGGCAAAGAGAGCTGGATAAGCTGAGACAAATAGAGGCACAAGGTGGAGGTGGGAGTGAAGGTGCAGAGATAAACGACACACACACAGCCGGGGACAAGCGTGACGAGAGGGGAACTGAAATAGAGAAAGAGCGGGAAGCTGCAGCTCAGATGCGGAAGAAGCTGGTCGAAGCAGAGAGGGGACAGGAAGACGCAGCAGCGCAGACATCCACGACTGCATTTGACGTCACACAGGAAGTGAGCGTGTTGAAAACCTGCCTCCAACTTCCTGTTTCTGTCCCACACTCGCAAGCCATCAGAGGAGAAGAAGTGACAAGCGGGTACGCCACTGCTGCCTCCGAAGTTATCTGTGACAGCTTCCAGATATCTGAGGATGACAACGACCCTGTGAAACATGTGGAGGAAGAGCTGAGGGGCCTCAGGAGCCAACAAGAGAACAAAGAAGCAGAAAGGGAGGAAGAGGCGGAAAAGGAGCTCTCAGAGGAGGAGGTAGAGGAATACACATCGCCTCTCGACCCTGTGCAATCTCTCTCCCCTTTACCGCCTCATCCCAACTCCCTCGTAGCCATGAGCCGGATCTACAAATTGGAGACAGTCGGCTCGAGGTCGGGCTTGTGCCTGAGGGAGAGGACCGTAGACATCCCATCAGTTCACCTTGTTAAAGTGAAGCCCCTCATGTCAAACGCACAGCAGGGGGACAGCAAAACATTCTCAGGTGAGGACATCTGCGGGGTTCAGACAATACAACGACAGATAGAGCAGTTTCAGCTGAAAGAGCAGGAAACGCTGAAGTCTTGTGCGTCACCAAACACCCTTCTTAAGGACAGAGAGACAAAGGGGCATCCAAGCCCCAGAGGACTGTTAAAGAACCAGGTAAAGGACGATAAAAAGACCCCGGAGAAAGATCACGAAACTTCAGAATTGAATCCCAATGTGTCTCCTCGGCATGTCCGTTCTCCAACATCTCAGCTGAAACAATCTAACCAGACTACCACAGTCACCCCCTCACTCATCAGGAGCCAATCCCCGGACAATACTCTGAAACCCTCGGATTACGCCCCGACCCCGGCCTCCTCCCCGTGCTCCCCATCTCCTGCACAGTCTCCGAGTGTCTCTCCATCTCCAACCCCATCGCCCACGCTCTTCTCCATCAGGAGTGCCTCTGGAGGCCAAGTAAAGAGAGGTGCCACCATCACAATCGTCCCAAAAAAGCCTGCCGGCAGAGGAGTGGCAGGACCCACAACGGGCTCCACGGCAGTAGGGTCGAAACCCTCAAAGACCTCATCGCAGCAGGCCCAGATGACCTCCGCTGCGGCCGAGCCAGTGAAGAAGAAGTACCCCACAGTGGAGGAGATTGAGGTGATTGGTGGATATCAGAATCTAGACAAGTCCTGTCTGGTCAAGAACAGACAGACCCCAAAAAGGGTGAGTGTTTAGTTTTTTATTTGCATTTCACTCAGATA